TAATGTGACATCCTCATCATTTTATTTATGACAGTGAGAAAAGAAGAGGGCCCACTCTGCTTTCTCTAAAAGTGAGGAAATCTTTCTGGAAATAACATGGCTTATTCCTATTATTTCTCATTGGCCAGGATCACACCCATTTTTAGACCTGTCAACTGTTCATGGGAACTGGACCGCCATGATTGTTTTTGACCAATTGTCTCAAGCTGAAATATCTTGATTCATAACCTATGGATCTTGTAAAAATATAGATTTTGATTCAGTAGATCTAAAGTGATCTCTGTAAACTTTGCATTTATAATAATCTGTCAGGTGATTCTAATGCTAATGCAATAATAGATACTGGGAAATAACCAATATTACCACTACACTACTTTATGCCGGGAACTGAACTTGAGAAATAAATACTGCGTGCACCCAGCATGATGAAGCTTACTTAGTTTAATTAGAGGAGTGACAATAGTCAGCAATTCCAGTGACTTGCCTTGAGTTACTTGGTAAGTGATGAGTCTAAACAACCTGTACTAGAGACAAAATAAATAAGAAAGCATGACAAGGATCTGCGGAGAGAAGAGGAATGAACAAAGCAAAGTGCTAGGTTATAATCCTTGGATCATATAATTTTGTGGTTCTTAGTATTTCTCAGAGTTGGGGGTTTTGCAATGGTGAAATCACATAAAAATCTCCAAGCAGAATAAAGAGCCTGGAACTGAAGAATATAAAGGCAGAAAACTCAACGTGAACACCGCTGCATAGAGATAAAATTGCCATTACTTCTTATTTCTGTCTTTCATAGCCCTGCCTACTCTGCTAAATTGACACCTTGTAGGCAGGCAAAGATCTATTATTTTGGATTATAAAATAAAAAGTTATCATTATTTTTTATTTCTGAAATGTACATGTCATAAACTGCTACTTTTAACTTTAATGCATTGCTTGAAGTAAATAAAATGCATTACTTGAAGCAAATAAAGTAAATAAAGCAATGTCTAGTGTAGTAGACTACCTTTTCTCATTGATATAATGCATTGATAAGGACTCAACAACAAATAATCAACTCATTTGACTGGACCTGTGATATAAATGAAGCAAAAACAGCTCTGGTTTATTGTAGAGGAAATATTACTAAATTTTGTATCTTTAAACCTAGTTTTGAGTTTTAATCTCGCTACTAACAGGCTATTTATCATATTTCTAATATTTCTGTATTTTGATTTTATAATCGATAAATGGAAATGACTATCACAGAAAATTTGAAATAGAGAACAGTGATAGAATCAGGATAACAGCTAATATAACATGAGGTACATGGAGGAGCTTATTAAGTGATTTTGGAAGAAGAATCTGAAATTATGGCTATAATTATTTTTACTGTTATTTTGAGAGATAATTAGCACCTAAGTGTACTATACTCATTAATTATATAAACAATGTATATCCTATTTAAGCATAGACATGTTATAGCTTTATTAGTGTAATAAAAAACATGTACAAACAAAATATAATCAATGTAGTGATCTCCTGATGTGATCACCTTAAGTAGAGCCCTCAGCCATCTCTACATTGTGGTTTAGCTCAGAAAGAACTTTGTATAAATGATCTCTAGATGTCCTTGAGGTTCTATATTTCTGTAGCTTCCCTTTAGTATTCACTTTAATTAATAATTATTGTATGTTTTGTTATAATAATTTATCAAAGCCTAAGGAAGTTTTACATGACTCTTATCTTTAAAAATATCATGTGTATAAATTTAGTACATTTTAACAAAGAACTTCATCCACAAAATAATGATAACATATTGCATAATATGATGCTGTGGAAGAAAAATGCAAGATTTGAAACCCTACCTTCAGGATGATTTCAGTACACAAAAAGGTAAAAGGACAGATACAGAATATGTAATAGGAGTGATTCAAGGTAGAAATGCTGGTGATTAAATTTTTATGATAATCTCTGAGTTTCTGAGACCCTATTCATGACAGTTTCAGTGGAGATGGCAGGTGGAAGAGTATGTTTAAATTGATGAAATGTGATCTTGAGGCTGAGAGGACATGTGTGACTTCATAGCTCATGTCATTATGGGCATCATCTAGGAATACCTAAGAGTTGTTGGTGTCCATTGTTGGGTAATTTAGATTTTTTAAGAGCAAATGACTGATTCCAGCAGAAGTCAGTAGTGTTCTTGTAACTATTGCAAAGAAAGAGAGTAGATCCTATATTGGCAGTACATAAACAATGGAAAGTTTTAAAAAATTTGGAATTCTTCCAGGCTAGTGAAAATTTCTGAAATCGCTGCTTATAAAGTAAATTAGGGTCAGAAGGTGAGGTCTCACTAACAGTGCAGAAGACTGAAGGACTAGGAGACAATCTCACCAACAATTGTGATTCAGATTGAGAATGCTATTTAAGCACAGGAACCAGGTAATAGTGAAGGCTGATGAGCGTGGCTGAGGCCTAGGTGAATTTTGGGATCATGAGAATATTTACAGAACTATGGTGGAGAGGATAATTTGACCTGGTAGATAATTGATTGGAAGTCATTGCACAAGCTGGGAATTCCAGAAGTTGAGAGGTTGTTTGAGTGGGATTGTGAAAGAGCAGTCTGCAAGTGAGGAACTGGGATAGAAGGTAAAGTAGAAGACACTGTGCCTTCCTTTGGGAAAAGTTTGGAGGAAAGTGTTACTGTGAGATGACTGACAATGAAGATGGAAAGATGGCATAATCATTATTAAGAGTAAAACATTAAAGGTAAACTCATCACAGAAGAAGATAGATTTTGAAATCCATCTTGAAAGACAGTGCTAAAAGATGTGAGTGTGTTTGTGCATGAGTAAGATAATTTAGAAGGCAGGGTAGGATGTGGGAGTTGACTGGTCTTGCCAAAGGAAGAACTGAGAACTATAAATGGTAGTAAGAAAGGTGGTGGAAGATGGAGAGCATCACTGGAGGTGTAAGTTAGGGGAGATGAGGTGAGGGCAGGTAGCTGTATGAGTGCTGGGTCATGGTCTGCCTTCTGGTTGGAAAATTCATATTAAATAATGTGATAACTGAAAAAATGTAGGTTGAGATTTGCATGCATAAAGTTTTTTTGTTATGTGATTTATAGGGAAAGAGAATTCAGGCTGCGTTTTATGAATTTATATTTTAAGGCTGGTGAGTATAAGCTGCTCTTACTCTTTGTGGTTAGGAACAAAGAATTAACAAAACACTCAATGGATGAAAAATGCCAATGTCAAATTTGGGACTTTTTATCTGCAGGTATATATGTGTATACAGACACATGCATATATACAAGATAATATGCATGCATGTATCATTTCAGATATAGAGAAGAGTGTTAAAGATACAGCAGATTTTATCATTTTAAAACTTATTAAAGTAATTAATTCCTTTATTATTTCCTTGTTTAAAAATGCAAAGTATTTCAAACATTCAAAAACAAAAATTGACCACTTACATGCCCACCACTCTAATTTAGTAGAAACTGACATTTTGCATTTTTGTCTCTTAATTTTTCTAAGCAACTTTTCTCCTAAGATTTAAACATATATTTCAGAGGAATATAGGAGATGTTCTAGATTTTTTACCAGGACTGTACTGGTTTTAGTTTGCTTAGTTTAACTGCCATGTTGAATTTTACTGATTGGGTAAATTTCAGTTCATTTATCTACTACTCAGGTATATTTTATGGGATCTTTCCCATACTTAACTATTACAAATGATTCTGAGTTGAGCATTCTTGTACATATCTGTGATCACACATGAAAGGGTGATCCAAATGTAGAAATGGACCTATTCAGTTCTATGTTTTATGCATTTCGGCTTTACGAGATAGTAGCAAATAATTTTCTAACATGACTAACCATTTACACTTCCACAGGTAATTTTACTATTCTATTTTACACTGTTTGATGAGATGATACATCAAATAATGTAAAAGGATACCAGGAATACTTAGCATTTTACCTACCAGAAGTGAGAATGAGGATCATGGCCATTTAACTTTCATAGTTGTGGCTTTTCTTTGCCCTTTGTGCTATCTTTGACTAAAAGAATTTTTAAATTTAGGCTGAGGATCTCTTTTCATGGTTATTATACATACACGTTTTCTCTCTTTATAGCCTGTCCATCTGTTGACAGGATTATTTGTCTTTTTCCTTATTGAACTGTAGAAGAATTTTACATAACCTGACTATTTATCTTTGATGGTTCTTTTTATGACAAATACCTTATCATGGTTTGTGGCTTGCTTTTTTCACTTTATATATGATATCTTTCAATATATAGAAGTTAGTAATTTTATTATAGTTGAATTTGTCAACCACATTCTTTATGGTCTTGTGTGAGGCATCCTGATATTATAAATATGTTTTCCAATAGTTCATTTTGAAAGTTGACAGATATGCTTTTAACTTTTAGGTTCCTTTGATTACTTCTTTTAAATGGTATAAATTGGCTGTCATTAATGCCAAAGAGATAAAAGTTTGTAAAGAGTACAGATTTTGGCTTTACTGTAAATTATTCATTAGTATTTTATAGTCATCCTGTCATGATCGCATGCTATGCATTTAGAATACTGAGATGCATCGACCATGGACTCAGTCTCCTGAAAGGGACAAACCTATTAAGCACATGCAGTGCAGTATAAAGGCTAAAAGAAGACTTTACATATATAAAGCCTGGGAGAAGGGAGATGGCAGTGAATTATTTACCAAGAAGCCATTATCTGTTCTGCTAATTCATATACTCTAGGCTAATAGAAATTTTATGGAAAACTGAGATTAATATTATAGTTTAGCAGTATACCCCTTAACAGATCAATATTAACTTACCTCCTTTTTGTGATTGAAAGACAACAGTGAAAATTTGTGGGGCTACACAGATATTTTCATCCTAATTTTAATAAATAGTAAGTTATCACAGATGTTGGTTGCCAAGATGCTTTAAATTTCTGGAAATGTTAAAACCCTGTTTTATAAAAGATTGGTTTTTGTTTACAGAGACGAAATGGTGAAGATATACCTGTGGCTCAGACTAAGAACATCAATCACAGAAGATTTGCTGCTTCCTTTAGATTGCAAGAAGTGACAAAAACTGACCAGGATTTGTATCGCTGTGTAACTCAGTCAGAACGAGGTTCTGGTGTGTCCAATTTTGCTCAACTTATTGTAAGAGGTAAAGTAAAATTGCTTTCACTTCATGAAATTGCATGGCTTCATTAGAACAAAAGCAACTTTTGTAGATATTTGGATTGATTTTTAAATCTAGTGCTCTTTATCTCAAATCACTGTAAAAACCATATTGTTATAAGTTTTGAAAATGTCTTAAGGTCAAATTAAGACTGTTATATAATGTGTCACGCAAGTTTTCAGTAAGTGATTTTTATCAAAGGAAACCTATTTAATACTCCAACAGGGCTAAACATATGTAAATCCTTTATTTTGCCATCAATTTAAGGCTACCAGAGGAATTGGTGAGAGATTATGATATATTGGTACTTTTCTTTAATGGATACTGGAAAAACAAGTACAAGTGCACAATGTATATTCCATTTACTGAACATTGACTGAGTCCCTATATAATTCACTGTTCTAGGTTGTGGAGATACAATGGTTAGTAAAATACAAAGACCCTCCCTTATATATGTAGGTCTTCCCCTGGTGGCTCAGATGGTAAAGAGTCTGCCTGCAGTGTGGGAGACCCAGGTTTGATCCCTGGGTCAGGAAGATCCCCTGGAGAAGGAAGTGGCAACCAACTCCAGCATTCTTGCCTGGAAAATCCCATGGATGGAGAAGACTGGCAGGCTATATAGTCCATGGGGTCACAAAGAGTTGGACACGACTGAGCAACTTCACTTTCTTTTCCCTATGTAGCTTAACACTGAGGTATAATAGGCACAACATATATGAAATTGTAGTATCACATCATGGGATGTGTTATGACTAAAAATAAATATATGAAATGAGGGGGATTGATGGTTTAGTTAAGATGATCTGGAAGGCTTCTTTGTGAACATGACAACTGAGCTGAATTCTGCAAAAATGAGGACATCAGCCATGTGAAAATTTAGAGGAAAAGCAACTTTTGATGTATAGATTATGATGCATCAATTGTTTATAATAACAAATGAAAATAATTATAAACCATATAAGTCTCTTCAAGGAGAAGTTTGGCAGATTTTAACAAAAACATTTCATCTGGACTGAGATTTGTCAGAGGTGTCGGGGAAGGCCTTTGTCATTGACTTTCTTTGAGATAGAATCTGAAAGTTGAGAAAAAGTTGCTTAGATGAAGGTTGTAGTTTTGAGGGGTAGGGGTAAGAAAAAGAAGGATCACCAGGCAGAGAGCAAGGCAAGTGTCAGTGCTTAGAGGCTAGAAGGAGAAAATGAGATAATCCACATTCAAGTTAATACATTTTATAATGCTTAACATCAAATGTCTTTTACGTGTATTATTTCATTGTTAGATTTACTTGATTTTAATACTTTAACCTTTAGTACTTTCAGAAGAAAATTGAAATTCAGACTATTTGATAATTGCCCAAGGCCACAAAGATGTAATAACTGGCTGAGCCAGAATTTAATTCCATGTTTCTTAACTCCTGGTGCTGGGCTCATTTCTTTCCACCAAAGCTTTATCTCACATTAACATTATTAAATAATGCTATTAGCTACTTGTAATGCTTTTGTCTTGAGAGATTCTGTAGCTCATTAAAAAAGAAAAGTTTATCTTTGTAAATTGGATAGAACTCTATTACAAATAAAACTTTGCTTATAGCTCCAGAGTCACCTTATAGCACATGCTTTAGTTCATGAAATCACAGCCCCAGTTCATTCTAACAAGAAAATATGGTAATCTTTAACTCCAGTGTTTAGGTAAACAATTTAACATGTATTCGTATATGTTTGTATATTCATCTTTGGTGAGCCCTTTTCCTGCATCCTTCTCACCTGAGCCTGGCAGTGCCTTTGAAAAGCCTGAAGGTGTCCTTGGGTAATCTTCAGAGTGATTAATATGCTATGGATATGGGAAGGTGGGTGTGCTCCTGAGTCATCGTGCTTGCTGTATCTTCACGAGGCTGTATGTGCATTCACGATATGCAGCCACTGATGGAGACAGTAGCTTTAATAATGCAGCTCAAGTGCTTTTGACTAACCTACCGTTTTATGTGTGTGTATGTGCGCGTGCGTGCGTGTGTGTGTGTGTGTGTGTGTGTGTGTGTGTGCTCAGTTGTGTCTGAGTCTTTGTGGCCCCAGGGACTGTAGCCCTCTAGAGTCCTCTGCCCACGAAATTTTCCAGGCAAGAATACTGGAGTGGGGTACAATTTCCTGTTCCAGGGGATAATCCTGACCCATATATATATGGATCGTCCTGACCCATATATATAGAGAGAGGCATAAATATAGATCTATAGATATAAAATTTTTTGAAGAAGTGGCCTCTAATGTATTCAACAGTTATAAAAGGTAGAGTTGAAGGCTTTATCTAGGTGCTCCCTTTAAACGTAAATTTCCTTCTTTCAGATAGGCATTTAGTGCCTGTTTATTTTAAAAGAGATTTATTTTGGATTATTAGATCTTCCTTGTTTATCTGAACTGAAAAGTAGATTTTATCAGAGCTTGCTTTTCTTTGCTTAGAGAACCTATATTATGGCTATTCTAGGAGTACTACTTGAGAAGTAACTAATTATTTCAATAACATTTATAAAAGGAAACTCTGAATTTCATAGAAAATCTTAGCTATTTTTCTTTTTGTTTTTTTATGATGTTCCTGCCATTTAACCTGTATTTTGTTTTACATTTTATATTGTACTTGTTGGGTAAAGATATGATGGTGCTGTGAGTGTACTATCCAGAATCTGTTTACATTTTAGAAATATATTTTGATAGTTTGGCACAGTTCCTTTTCTTTTTCGTATATTTTACTTTGATGTATATTTAACACTTACAGGTGATACTTTGCTTGGAGTTTGATTTGAAAACTAATATGAAACAATACATTTTCTTGTTTGTTCAATAACCACCAAATAAATATTGCTAACCACAAAATACACCCTTTAGGGTCAGCTCTCCTGGTGTTGAAATAGTGCTGAGAATTAACTGTGGTGACAAGTCTTGTCTCTCATTGGCACTTTCAAAGCTGACATCCTGTTACATGGATAAAAAAGATGGTAATTTTAAAGGAAATTTTTGGGGCAGTGATACGAATAGTCTTTAATAAGATCTGGCATAGTATTGCCTGTTGTCAAAGATGACCCAAGGGTAAGAGTTTATTAGTGCATTTTCTCCTAAACTGAAAGTGACAGGGCATGCTTAAGGCTCTTTGGTTGCTGTTTGTTACAAATGAAAATTTCACTGCAGAATTCTCATGTTGAAGAGTATTGATCTCTGTGTTCCCACAGACAGAGGAAAACAAAATGCTGAAATAGAATATACTTTATCATGACTTTAGCTTTGCTTCCAGATCATTTTGAGTAATGATAACATTTTCAGTTTGTGGAAGCCAATCTTTATTGACAAAGATTTTACAGAGACGAAATGAAGAGCAGATGTTTTGCTCAGTGTTTCTACAAGATGGAAGTGTAAAAAATGTGAAATACACATTGAAATGTGTTTATAAACTTCAGATAAAAAGCACCACCTGTAGTCTGTTATATTATAGATTCTCATTCTTTTAAAAAAATTTAATTGAAAGATAATTGCTTTACAACACTGTGTTGGTTTCTGCCACATGGTACATGTACACAATGAAACGCTCAGTTCAGTTCAGTTTGGTCGCTCAGTTGTGTCCGACTCTTGGTGACCCCGTGGACTGCAGCACGCCGGGCCTCCCTGTCCATCAGCAACTCCTGGAGCTTACTCAAACTCATGTCCATCGAGTCGGTGATGCCATCAAACATCTCATCCTCTGTCGTCCCCTTCTCCTCCTGCCCTCAGTCTTTCCCAGCATCAGGGTCTTTTCTAATGAGTCGGCTCTTTGCATCAGGTGGCCAAAGTATTGGAGTTTCAGCTTCAGCATCAGTCCTTCCAATTAACACCCAGGACTGATCTCCTTTAGGATGCACTGGTTGGATCTCCTTGTAGTCCAAGGGACTCTCAAGAGTCTTTTCCACCACCACAGTTCAAAAACATCAATTCTTCGGCACTCAGCTTTCTTTATAGTCCAACTCTCACATCCCTACATGACTACTGGGAAAACCATAGCCTTGACTAGACGGACCTTTGTTGGCAAAGTAATGTCTCTGCTTTTTAATATGCTGTCTAGGTTGGTCATAACTTTTCTTCCAAGGAGCAAGCATCTTTTAATTTCATGGCTGCAGTCACATATGCAGTGATATTGGAGCCCCCCAAAATAAATGTGTCTAACTGTTCCCATTGTTTCCCCATCTATTTGCCATGAAGTGTTGGGACCAGATGCCATGATCTTAGTTTTCTGAATGTTGAGTTTTAAGCCAAGTTTTTCACTCTCCTCTTTCACTTTCGTCAAGAGGCTCTTTAGTTCTTCTTTGCCTTTTGCCATAAAGGTGGTGTCATCTGCATATCTGAGGTTATTGATATTTCTTCTGGCATGTTGATTCCCCCTTGTGCTTCATCCAGCCTGGCATTTCACGTAATGTGTTCTGCATATAAGTTAAATAAGCAGAGTGACAATGTACAGCCTTGCCGTATTCTTTTTCCCAATTTTGAACCAGTCCATTGTTCCCTGTCTATTTCTAACTGTAGCTTCTTGACCTGCATACAGATTTCTCAGGAGGCAGGTAAGGTGGTCTGGTATTCCCATACTTTGAAGAATTTTCCACAGTTTGTGATCCACATAGTCAAAGGCTTTGGCATAGTCAATAGAGAAGAAGCAAGTGGAACTGTCTTGCTTTTTTGATGATCCAAAGGATGTTGGCAATTTGATCTCTGGTTCCTCTGTCTTTTCTAAACTCAGCTTGAACATCTGAAAGTTCATGGTTCAGGTATTGCTGAAGCCTGGCTTGGAGAATTTTGAGCATTACTTTGCTTGTGTGTGAGATGAGTGCAATTGTGTGGTAGTTTGAACATTCTTTGGCATTGCCTTTCTTTGGGATCGGAATGAAAATGGACCTTTTCCAGTCCTGTGGCCACTGCTGAGTTTTCCAAATTTGCTGGCATATTGAGTGCAGCACTTTCACAGCATAATCTTCCAGGATT